AATTGGTAATATACATATGTTTTAAAAAAAATGAATTTATTATTAACCAGTTTTATTACAATATGCATTTTTAATTTCAAGATAAAAATTAACGTTTTGGCCTTAAAACTGATTAATATTGATTGAAAGATCTTTCAACCTTGACTGATGTTATGTTTATTTTGGTGAATACATCATATAATCGAAACTATGTTAATTAATAATATTAATTGGTATTATATCTGGTAAATTTAACTAAATACATTTCAAGTATGAGCTATTTTAAGATAAACTCATGAAAATTAACTGATTTAATTTGAAATTATTGCAAAAAATATCAAAGTATTGTAATGATATATACAATATGGTATATATCATNACTTCGTACGAGAACAAATCCTTAAGACAATAATCATTAATCATGTATTCATTGTTCGGAAAATACACAGTTCGGGAAAAACGATGTTCGGGTAAAATCAATGTACAGTATTCGAGAAATATATCATTCGGGTAATTAATTATTCGAAAAAAACGACATTCAGAAACGTCAGGAACCGTATTTCGGGTACCTAGTACCTATACAATTGTGGAAACCAAACTAGATGTCAGAATTACTATTTCTTTTTGTGTCCTCATTCGGTTTTTTATTATATTTAGAATAATTTTAGACATATTTAGTATTAGACTAATTGTTCTAGATTGATTACATTCTACTGTATTTATTTTCTTTGGCATTGAAATCATTACTATTACTATATGCTCTCTTAACCATTCTTATCCATTTCCCCGGTTTTTCCTAATTAATATGAAAACGCCTGAAAAAATAAAAACTTTTTAAAAGTATCAACCCAGTATAATTTTCTTTCTAAAAAAGTCTATACTAGAAAATCAGAGCAAAATTTCTAATTAAAAAGTTGTTTAAAGAAAAAAAATCATCATTGTAAAACTAATACATTCCTCGCTCTACTTAGAATCTAACATTTATTTAAAGCGCATAATAAACTTTGCTGTAGATAATATTTAAATAACTTGAAAAACATAAAACAGATTTATTTTATAGTTTTAAGATAACCCAATCTTCAACATAGACGAGTACATGTAGTTTATATGTACATTTTTCAATGTATACCTCATACCTATATTTATATATTTTACACCCAAGCCCTTCTTAGTGAGTAATATTTAAGAATTTTAATTTTTTGACTAAAAAGATTTGTTTACGTCTTAGCTTCATATACAATATGGATTCCGAGCTGAGGAAAGAATGTATTCGTTTTATAATGATGATTGGTATTTGGTGGTGTTTGAAATGAAGTATTTAAAAACATCGAGGTCGACCTAAAATCTATTTATAATTGGTTAAGCGATAGCAGTCTATTTCTAAATTTCAATAAATCGACCATTTTACTCTACTCACTATCTGAACAAATTTTACCAATCATACACAACACAAAAGTCCACGAGTCTAACTGAAAAATTTCGCTAATGACAACACCCTACACAATGTATCCATCCTATACAAAACATTTGGCTGGAGCATTAAATTAATAGCTGGTATTTTTTCAAACATAACGCATTATCTAATGTACAAGGAAAACTCGAATAGATACGGAGTGATCTCTAACACTGCCATAAAAAAAACCACTCACCCTACTCGGCCTATTCCACGAAAAATGTCCATATAGAAGTAGGTATCCACTATATATAACACGCAAGTGGATCCGCTCTTATATATTGTATTAATTTATTATTATTATTTTTTTTTTATCCTTAATTTTAATATTATTATTAATATTTTATAAATTCACTGTTAATTAAAATTGCATAAAATATGCATTGTTATGAGGGCATAACAAAAAAAAGGAATGGTGTGCATGTAATGATACATACAATATGGTATATATCATAATATAATATTATATAACATTAATATTATCTACACTACATTTTATTATAGTGGACACCACTTCATTTTATTAAATAATAAGTTAATTTAGATTAACACAAATAGTATGTATTATAGTTAAATATCTCATATAGTAATAAAACATGATAACGAGAACCGGACAACACTACTCCACTATTTTCCCCTTTCTTTCTTATAAGAGACTCCTCGACTCATTCGGCCACCGGATCCTGCCTTGGCGACTCGTCATCTTTTTCGTCTTTCCGCGAGTGCGTGTTGTTCCGGCTTCTAACATTCCGATATCATAATTTTTAATTTAATCAAGTGTTTATTTTATCATTCCTACTACCTATTTTCATCAATATAATAAATAAATATAATTATACCTGTATTCAAACTCAACATTGTTGCTGAGGGTACTCCGTTTAGAATAGGTAAGTATATTATTGTTACCCTTCATAGTGTATATCTTATGTTAATTGTTTCTTACCGTCGTAGGCTGTAACAAGTAATCTAGGTGATTAGTGGGTATACATTCATTTATTTTGTACCCCTATATTTACTTTATTACAGTATTTAAAAAAATAATGTATTTAGGAAATAGCTGATACTGAGGACGGGAGCACTCATTGTTGTAGGTGAGAAGTTGAGAAGGTAGGATACATAAGGTTATTTCATTTATATCTGTAAGCAACGATAAACCATTGACGATTCTAAGCACAGTACGGTAATACATAATTTAAAGTGCCCTAATTTTTTTTGCGGTTTTTATTTAGTTTTGATTTCAAAACGCTTATTAAAAAAAAAAGTCACCCTATGATTTTGGAAATTTAACCACGTCTAAGTAAGTCCATTATAATTATTATTATTACCAAGTTCCAAGTCTCTATGTGTTTATAACCAAATCACAACAAAAACACTACTAAAAATTTAAATTCCTTAAAAGCTCAAAAAATGCTCAGGTTTTGGCAATGATATCGTCAAATGGTAACGAAAGAAAAGAGGTGTCTTGTGATATTTCGATTAAATCATTTTTTCTGATTGAAAACGTCGTCTGAAAATCTAAAAATGACATCTTTAAAGTACAATTTAGACACCTTGAGTTTTTATAAAAGTTGCTACACTTATACATCAGAGCAAGTTTACTAGAAAAAACGTGTCTACAGGCTAAAACAAAGAAGAAACAAGAAAAAACAATAAACATCTTAGTAAAACTAATGGATCCATCGCTACGTTCGGAATTTAAAAGTTAAAAAAAAGAAAAAAAGGTCGTCCGATGATTTTGGAAATTTTACCACATAAGTGGAAGATAAGTCCAATATATACATATTGTATTATAATATAATGTATTATTATACTATTTCGCTGGGGAGGTACTTTAAAAAAGTTGTTTCTCCGATTTTCTTCGGAGTTTTCTCAGCAAATGTGAAAAATTGGGAAAAAACATAGGAAACCGGGGAAATCGGTGCGACATTAAACAAATATTATTAAAGAAAATGTATAGAGCCTACTTAATTATTTTACTATTATATGACATGTATATCATTGGCAAAGCATCAATATCAACTGAACTATGCTCAAAATAGTTTTTTCGTAAGCCATGGTTTATCGTTTTTTACAAGTATACATTAAATTACCTATAACAGTTACTGACATCCGTCGTTTATGTTTTTACAGTAGTTATTTTCCTTTCTCATATATATCCAGTGTTAGTTGATATGAAGCGTCATTTATCTACATGCTAACACATTAAAATAATTATGCTGTTATATTATCTGCCTCAGGCACTTTATTTTGTTTCGAGTCAAGTGTTAGCTCGAATTCTGATCTTAAGATAAGTAGTTTTGTTTAAAATAAGGAGAAAGGAAAATATTCTGAGATTTTACTGGTTAGTGGGAATATGATTAGAAGAATATCTAGCCTTTGAAACTATCATACCTAACAAATTCAAAGGAGATCGTCTTTCCGATAGTTTTCCGTGTTGTTTTCTTAATAATTGAGAAAATAACAGTAAACTTTATTTATATTAACGATTTCATTATTTTTTAATGTATTTTGATTGAAAATAATTGCATAATTATCATATGATGTAATTTTGACAGAATACTTTATTCGTTTTTTCTAGGCGTAATACAGTGTTTAAAACATTCCAGCAAGTACAAAGCTATTTTTAGACATTTATAATTTATATAAATTTGACGGTAATATGAAGGTTGTTTTTTGCAAAATTTTACAAATTCTTTTTCCACCATATACTTTTGGATGTTATTTAATTTTTATACTTTTTAGTACTCCGATAACTCATAATTTTGAGTTTTTTCTACTAATTAAATAGGTATGAAAAAACTTCTTGGCATAAAAACAAAAAAACAAAACAAAAATTTAATAACCCTATGGCAGAAAAAGCGAACAAATAGTTATAAATAATATGAAATAGAAAAAGTTGTCGAAAACTGATTTCTGAATGCAAGTTATTATTCAAGATTAGATATCACAGTATCAATCCATGACTACTCTTTCTATCATATTTCATTTTGCCTATCGGTATAGGTACCTAATATTATCGAATATATTTTCTTATAACTCTAGTACAGTCAAATAATGTTATTGTACATAATATATCGATGGTGTTTTTTTAAGGGATCGCATACCACTAAAAATAGAAAAATACATTTTTGGTATCAAAACTGTCAGAAAAATTAGGAGAATAAACTGGTAAAAAGGCGTATTTAAATACAGACTATTAAGTTGGAAATGTCGATTAAATGATATCCAGACGCCCTTTAAAAATATAATTAAATCTACACTGATTTGTTAAAAGGGAGTATACCAATACCACATTCAATGCATGTATATTATGTGTACGAGTATTTTTAGTGATTTCATGATAAACATCATTAAAAACTGTTTCACTATTGTTTTTCAAAATGATTTTTTTTGTTTCCTGGAAAAAAGATGAAATATGATAGACAAAACATCGTCGATATATAAGAAAGGAAATTTAATAGTTTTTATTATCAAAATAATTTTAATAATAATAATAATAAAGATTTTATTCATATTATTCTAATTGATTAGTGTTAGGTAGTATAAATTACCTATCATAATATATAGCTTAATAACTTTGACAACCAAGTCTAGTAAAGTCTTCTGATATGGTCATAAAGGGTTCTAATTCGGTATACAACTGTTGAATAAATTGCATCGGTTTTTCAATTCGGTCTTCTTTATTAATGCATTTTATCTGAAATAATTTGTATTATGATTAAATACTGCAAAATATCAAAAAGTTTTGGCTAATTATTACTTACATAGAATTATATTATTATTATATGTAATATGTAAACCATATAATACATATCAACCTATTTATAATAAATTATTTTTCAAAAATGTAAGTATTGTAAGTATGTAAGTATATGTAGGTATTTCTATAGCCACTATTATAAATATTTGATTAGATTTGGAGTGCAGTTTTAGATCTATTAGCTTTACTATGATGTGTGCTGATTTTGTTTTGTCTGTATACAACTATTCGAAGCTTCAATGTATAGAGTATAGTACCTTTTCAGAAAAGAAATTTTTTCTAGTTGGAACATAAGAGAGTTCATTTTCTAATTGTTTCGATTAAAGCGTGTATAGACTAGTCAACATCCCTTGATAACTTTTTGAGTTTAAAACAAATTTGTTTACATCTAATTTTCGCTGCATCTGGTAGGTGTGAATGTACATTCAACATTGACAGTAATAAGTACTAATATTAAGTTTCCGGTTATAACCGTGGTTTCCATGGTTTAAAAATCGGGTTCACTCTAGAGGTCAAGGTTATGACAACGGGGCAAATATGACTGGTCAGTATCAGGGTATTTTCCAACTTAATTCTATAGCTTTTTTTTATGCCTTGTGTTTTACACAAATTGAACTTATTACTTTGCGATATCGCAAAAGTCCAATTAACGCTATGACATTTTTTGGAACTATTGAAAAAGTACACACAATTTTTCCGTGTCTACCTTTAGATGGGCTATTTTAAATAAGTATTTTCACATTATGAAGAAGTATTAAATACATCGTCAGACTCTTTAATAAGAAGTGAATGTAAATTCTTAGAAAATGGAATTGTTAGTTACGAATTTATTCCAAGCATAATTATTTGATATTTTATCTTAATATAAGTTAATACAATAAGCAAATCTTCAGTGCTCGAAAATGGATTTAGATATTTCAGTTAGTATGTTGAATGGGTCACTTTCATTTTTAAATGACTATAGAAATACTGGTTTTAAATCTGTCAATACAACTGCTAAAGATTTGGCAGAAGCTCCTACTGCTTTAAAAAAAAAAAAAAAATTGTACGAACCAAATAAAACAAATATTTTCATATGAAACTCAAGATGAACCATAAAGAAACTATTTTAATCAAAATTATTTTTTAACTATTGTTGATCAAGATACCATTTCCATCGTTTTTACAGCTTCATATCATTTAATAACAACTTTGATTTTTATATCGGATGTAACAAAATAAAATTAATGGAAAAAGAAGAGTTAAACAAATTTTGCCATGATTCACAAAATGTTCTAACTGTTGACGAATTAAAAGATATAGATGATTATGAACTATAATATAAGAAGAATTGCTTATTTTTTGTACTATGATTTCTGAAAAAACGACAGCTTTTAAAATTCTTTTAGTACTAAAAAAAGTTATGATTCTTTTCCTTATATTTTGATTACACACCAAATAATACTCTTTATTACAGTAACATCTGCTGGTATGGAATGAAGTTTTTCCAAAATGAAATTAATTAAAAACAACTTAAGGAGTTCTTTATCACAGTGTAAACTTATAAGCTACTCTTTCTATTAAATATGAAGTTACTAAATCATTAGATTTTAATGAGCTGATTTAAATTTTTAATGCAGCCAAAGCTAGAAAAAACAACTTTGATGTTAAAATCTAAAAATTTTTATTTTAATTTTTGTGTAAAACGTATTTAGTGTACCTAAACATTTAATTTTTCGCATTTTATTGAATATAAAAATTGTATCTATAGAGTATAGGAGCAAAATAATATTTGTAGTTTAATATTTAAAAAATTAAATACATATTGAAGAGCGTACTTTTAATTCTTTGTTTAGTTGGGTAAAAAAAGAATGTTTAGGTAAGTTATGTAAAATAGAAAACAATTATATACGATTAAGTACTAGGATGTGCCAAGAATTTTTTTTTGTCTTTACGAAAAATAAATTCTAGGGCCCGAAAAAATCTACCCTGGGCCTCCCGCCGGCGCTGGCTTCAAGATTTCTTCTCTTGTGACCTAATATTATAGATAATAATAATGATACAAAGTTTTAACCTCTTCCGCGTGATTCAAAGTTTTTCCATAAGTCTTTAACAGTAAATCTTCGATTTCCCAAATGAACTCGTCCAACTTCCTATTGGTAGCCTGAATACCAGACAAATCCTCTTGGACTATATGCATGTCATGGCTTAAGGATTGTAGTTCGAGTACAGCATCGCCAACTGCACTCCGTAACTTACTGTGATGTTTTTGACGCGTGCGACCCATGTCTTTATCTAAGTTTTCCAACAAACGGTTCACATCTTCCAGAACCTCGGCCAGTTCTTTTTTTACTCCTTTCACCTTGTGTCATTGTAAAACATTGTATTGGACATGTATACCTATATTTTAATTTAATAATACGTGTGTTCTTAAATTCATTCGTGATAAAATTGGTGTTATCAGTCAAATTTTGACTTTATCAATCAAAAATCCCCGATTCTGATAATTTTATCACCCACCATAAAAAAAAAGGTTTTCATGTGCATGATAAATTTATTTTATCACTTTTATATGTCAATCAACGTACGTAATTTATATTTGAAATTTATAGCAATTCCCCAACATTTAACCAATAAACATTATGTTTCACCAAAAATGTCACCACAAAACAAGGAACACACATACATGCCATAATGGTATTATAGCTCATGGGACGTCATAATTATGTTTGTATAATTAAAAATGTACTTTTTCTTCCTTGGTGTAATAAGTATCTTTTAACGTGTCGATATTTTTCGCATTTGACTTTATTAACCTTAAAAAACGCTTATTTTCTTCCCTTTTTTGAAGAATTTGTTTATCCAGGTCCATGTTTAGTACTTGTTGTTTTTTCAACTAAAAATAAAAATGTTATCATAGAAAAAATATTTTATTATGTATTTACTAGAGCCCTGCACGGGCCTAATCGGGTTACTAAAGTTTTTATTTCGGATAGGATTGAGCTTTAAATATAAGACCCAGGCAGTGCTAGATTGTTAGGTACCTTGTATAATATAAATAATTTTAATGGGCCTACCATATCTTCAAGATCAAGAATCTCGTTGGAACTCTTCTGAACTCTAGGATGTAAATCTGACATAAATAATTTGTTTGTGTGAAATGCAAAGTTGAAGCACCGTTGCAACATCCCTTTTTGGATTCTGAAAGAGACGACGTTTTAAATTCAATAAAACATTATATTCAAGAAGTGTTGTTAGCCTATATAATATCCCTACAAACCTACTTGCATTCTATTTTCAATAATTTATCTAAATTAATAAATATTTTTTATTCAAACATTCAAGTTGATTGCTGAGTATTGAATATGTATACTTAGGACTATTAAAGCCAAGAAGCTGGAAACTACTGGCGACAGAAGACAGATATATTCTGCTATATGAAATCTAGGATAAAAAAGTCACGGATAAAAAAAATCACCGAAACACTAACTTATTTTAGATTTAGAGCGTACGAGAAATATATTGACTAGTAATGTTTATTTATTTTAGACCCTGAGTAGAGAAGAGAAAAGAAACTTATGGTTTTAGAATGATGTTTATTTATTATTTTTTTTTTTTTGTTCTGTGAACAACTTTTCTACCAGAGATTTTTATGTGTAGCACCTGTTTTGAAAATAAATTGGTGTGAGTAAGTACTTTAAGGAAACACTTTTTCGATTTTCTCATCAAATGTGACAGACCGAAGAAAAACGGGATCCACTTTAATTTTAAAATTGAAATAATTGGAATTTTATCGTAATATGACATAAATATCGTTAACAAAGCAACATTATCAAATGAACTCCACTCAGAATCGTCTAAAACGTCTTTTTATTATTTTTTTTTAAATGTGGGCAACTTTTCTACTATCTTGCTTTGATTTTAAAGTATAGCATCTATTCTGAAAGGAAATTTTATTTATTTAATACTTTAAGTAGGTAATGTTTTTTTGATATTCCAAATGATTTTCATAATAATTGGGAAAAATCAGGAAAAAGGTAGGAAAAACTGGAATATTAAAGTACCTACATCCTACATGTAAGAAACTTACCACCGAATAGTTTTTTATTAGCATTGCTGTTTATCATTGCGTACAAATTAAATTCTTCACTATATTCTACATTCCTAACTTTTCAACAACAGTGGCTGCACCCATTGTACGAAGTATGCAGATCTTTTTTTTAGCATTTATTTAACATTCAAAATAATAGTTATATGAATAATATTTAGAATATTAATTTTAATATTTTAGAACCAGGCTGGCAACAAAGCTTAACATGCACTGACGAAAACCTATCTAAATAGAACATTATGGGCTTTCAAAACATTTATAACCAACTTCACATCGAATCGTTTTTCGGTATTAATGATTTATCGCTAGTTACAGGTATAAATTAAATAATTTTACGTATCCCAACCTTCTTCACTATCCATCTATAACAGTGGCCACATCAGTCCCTAGTATCGGGTTATTTTTTTTTAATTTGACTATGTCTCAAAAAGGCAAATATAAGTTTTCGTCAAAATTTCAAGCTTCTACAGATATTTTTAACTAAATTATAACAAAAAAACATAATTGAAAATAATAAAAAATAGTTTTTATGAATTTTATCGTTTTTCTACTTGTTTCGATTTTGCTCAACTATGAAAAAAAAAATACAGAGAAAATCCAAAACCAAATTTCTTACTCACCAACTAGATTAAAAATGCGACAAAAAAGGTATCATGTGGTTTTTTTTATTGAAGGAAGATTTCTCGTAGAAAATATAGTTCTAAAAAATTAAAAACAGTGAACGGTATGCCATAAATATTTGCCTATTTTCCTTTAATTTTGATTTCTGATTTACCCAATTATTTTGAAAACCCATTGGAAAAACAACAAATGACCTTTTCATTGCATCAACAAGTTTAAATTTCCTTTCAAAAAAGGTGCGACATTTGATTCATCGGGGAAAGATTTCTGTTAGAATAGTTGCTCACAGGCGCAAAAAAAAGAACACTTACCATTAGGGCTGTAAATTTAATGCAGTGAAAAATCTTAAAAATGCTAAAACAATTCAATAAAATATGTATTTTAAGTCTCGAAAAATGCAATATAAAAAGCACTTAAAATGGTTGTTAAATTTATTTTGATATTTCTGATATCGATGTGTAGTAAGCCCATAAATATCTAATCTAAGCAATATTGCCTTATTTGTGCATTAACTATGCAATACATGGATAATATATTTATCATTACTATGAAAAACCTGATTTTGATTTTTGGGGGTGTTAATTTTAAACTCAGGGATGCTAAAGACTGTCTAGCACCCCTCTAGTTGCGCCTATCCACCTATATATTCTTACATTATCTATGCTTATTTTATCGAATCCTTATCTTCACTTAACCATATACAACTTTTATAATATATAAAGTTGACGTAAATATAGCCTGTATAAAACAAAAAATTAACGTGTAAAAATGTTAATTAACGGAATTTGATTATGATTATATTGAATATATGAATATATGATTTTATATATAATAAATTAAATAATTAGGTTTTTTTTCTGACGGCAAATATTTATTCCTACTCCTAGGTTGTAGAAGTTATTAAATTACGTAAAAATATTACCCATGACACACCAAATAAATTATTTTATAAACATTTTAATGGTCGTAAATGATAAATTAAACTAGGTGGGTATGAAATAATATAATATTATTCAAATTCTTACACTTTTCTGTTATAAAAATATTTTTCCTCGAGTTTTTTTAATTTTACTTCGTAGTTTTTATTCATGGCTTCAATTTGTTGTTCCATGTTTATGAGTTTCTCTTCAAGAATTTCTTCTTGTTTACAAAATTCCTTCAACTTGTTTAACCTGCCGACTACACATATTATTTATACAAATAAATTTTAATTCAATCTGTCACAGTGTAACCTTAGGTAAATTTGAGTTTTGCAATCGAACGTTTATAATATTACCGTATACTGCTGTAGTGGTCTTAATTATTCCAACTGCCCTCATGAATTCGTCATCTTTTTCTTTTAGTCTGTTCCTGTTTATTTCAACCATTGAATCTTTCCCCTACATATATTTATTTTGATATATAGGTAGTAAATCGTTAAAACAATGATGAAATAAACAATCAAACTTGTAATAGTTCTTCGATTTCCGCCTTTAATTTTTTTTCATAGTTAGTTTTCTCTTCCAAAATTTTCATTGCATCTCCGTACTCATTTTTTAATTTAATATTTAAATCATTAGCCTTTGTTTTATACTTATCGGTATCTTTTTCCAAAATAATATAATTATTATTTAACCTATATAGTGAAATAGTAAATCCTTTATTTGCTCTAAAGATTATCACTAAATAACTTTAAATTAAGAAATATTAAAGAATAACCTAGCAATAGTATTTTCTATGGCACCAAATTGGAATGTGAAAAATTCTTTATCTACCGCAGATAATCTATTGTCATCTAGGAATGCAGTTGTCTTGACGTTTGTTGAAACCTTTGGAGGCATTATAAATTTTGTGTCCAAATAAATTTAATTAATTAATTTTAAATACAATTTAAACATTTAAAGATCGTTTTTTCAACTATAAATTATTCCATTGACAACCAAACAACGAGTAAACAATATTTGAGATGTTAAAATATCATTAAACTAAACAAAAATTCATAAACCACAATAAATAATAATTACAATACAATCAGATAGATTTAACTTTTCTAAATTAACGTATTATATTAGTTTGATAAATTGTTTTTGCTATAACTGGATGATTTTTTTTAAATTGAAACCGGTTATAAACGAACAAAAATTTTTTAACACTCCAGGCTACTTTTTTGTTTTTATTTATTTCCTTTTAAACATAGATTGGCATTTCTTTGATTTCTCAACTTTAAAATCTCTTAGATATACGAAACAAAAACCCAGCGATCAACAACAATTCTTGATATCTTAATTTTTTTATTAGTCGTATTTATAACTAAAAAATGAAAAAAAACTGATATTTTATCCATCTATAAAACATGTTTAAAAGCAGATATTAAAAATTGGCACCATAGGGCGCTAAATTGATTATCATTATTATTACTAGTATTTACACTATTATCTACTAGATAACTATAGCAAAATCATTGCCAGGTCAGCTAGTATATAAAGCTTGTATGTTTGAAAATGATAATCACAGAACTTACTAATCTATTTTAAATAATTATTTATGCAATAGTTTGCTTGTTCATTGAAAGTTGTAATCAATAATAATAATAATAATAATAATTATTATTATCACCGAATTAACGCCGGGTTTGAATATTATAACGCCAGTTTATCTTCTTTTTTTTCCGCGGCCGTTAGTGTCTTTATATTTAGAAATCTAATTAAAACAACACGATAGTTGCTCTCCCGCCCCCACCACTGTCCGCCATTCAACCGTCTCCCTGCCCGGCATTGTTTTTCAGGCTTGATCCGACGGATGGACATTTTTATTAATGTAATTTTAATTAATATTATATGTACTTATGCCAACAAACTTAAACTTTTCTACTAATATCGATATGTTTTTTTCAGCTTCATGGGCATCTATAAGCATTCCTGGAGGTGGTTCTCTAATAAGTGACATTAATTCCTTTTGCAGTCTTCTCTAAATTTAACAATACAATTTTTACTAAAAATTCTATAGAAATATTAAACAAAATTAATACATACTTCATTTGGATTATGTCTTGCCATCTCACGCCGATCTCTTAGAATGCAACAATAGTTAATTTTTATCTGTTGGTGTAAGTTATTTAAAACTTTAATTTTTGTTTTTAGATAATTTCAATAAACGTAGTTTATTATTAAATTTAACGATTTAAATAATATTTTCAACACGAACTAAGATACACAGGACTGAAGACAATATTATGGTTGGTGGGTGTGGCAGATACATCCACTCCAATGTTTAAAATGAGTGATTTAAGAGGGGGTTCGAGTTTTAATCAATAGTGGTGTTGCCTAGGTTTCATAATATATATGTTGAATAAACAACAGTTACATATATATATATATATATATATATATACAGCGTGGTTAGATACATTACTTTATTCCATAAAAGTTTGGCGAACTCACTCATGCATAACGAGCAACCGAAATGACTAAACCACTGTGATTGGCAGTAATAGTTAGTGTATGAATACACTAAGATAATATCTTAGGAAGAATTAATAAACACACAATTAAATAACAAATAAATTATACACGGAATGTATATCGCGGTGGTATAGTTGAGAGTCAGTGGTTAGTTGTAAATAATGTGATAATACAGCTCCCTACGTATACATGTTGTGACACACCCTTGTGAAGTTAGCTAGCAGTGTTGCCAAATCATAACCATTCTATAACAAACTTACCACAATTACTGATATCGCAGTTTTCCTAGGGGTCATTATAAAAACAATCGATTATAGCTTCAAAGTGTTATCACTTTTTTTTTATCAATGTTATCACATAATATGATAGTATCAACTATATTAAATATAATAATCAAAATTACACATTAAACAATAGTTTTAGCTCAAAATAAGCTGGAGGTGCTAATTTAATATTTGAAGATGCTAAGCACCCTCTGGCATGTGTGCCAATGTGCCTCGAGACAGTACAAACATCTGTTTTTCAAATGAGAACCCCAAACTTTTATTGTTAATTATTTAGAAGATAATGTTTTTAAAAATTCTGATGTACCTACCTAGTTCAAAATTTGAATGAGTGTGTAGTTTTTTAGTTATTAAAATTTTTATACTAAGGATAAGTCCTTAAAAATATTTTTACAAAAATATAAAACATATGAAAAAAGGGGGGTGAGCATGCTTGGTGAATCACTCTGTATATTCACCTATTATTGAATTTTAAGTTAACATTTTAATCAAATTTCAA